TGGGGGTTTCCCTTAATTAGGGGTACCATTTTGGGGGTCCCCATAATAAGCATTGTAGTATACTAGGGTCTATATTGGAGTCCCCTTGTTTAGGGAAACTACCATATGCTTACCTTTGGCTAGCTGGGAATAAAGGAGCGGAAAACAAAATGGAAACTACTATAATAGGTTTTATAGGGACTACTATAAGGATCCCTTCCTTCATCCCTAGCTAACGAAAGGTAAGTATACTGGGAATAGCAACACCGGCTGTAGTGGAAACATCAGTTGATGCAATCATCGAAAAGAGACTGATACTTGCAGCAGCAATGACCACTGAAATGCTTACTCCACCGCGAGTGTGGAAGTGTTTTGGAATCTGATGCTGTAAACAACTGCACACCACTGCAGTTGAATGCCTATAGCAATGGCGTGATGTCTTGCAGCTGTGTGTGTTTGTTCATGTCTTTTGCCACATGTACTTATGATACTAATGATGTTCCAATGCAACACCCATCTACCATTGTGAGCCCCAAACGCTGAACCCCTGGGTCACCATCTTGGAGTCGGGCTGTTGCCATCTTCACAGCTTCCTGTGAACCGGCGAGCAGGCCTGGATGTAGCTCAACATTTCGCGTGATAGTTTCGTTGCTTGCATGGATGCATGGATTCAGCATGTAATAGTACCAGCAAAGTAAAAGGCTGCTCAGAATCACCCAAATACATCGATTCTGTGGCGACTGCTGCGAGGGCACGAAGGCCACTTCGGTGGCTGACGGAAAGAGGCTCCGAAGCAGGTTAAGTCCTGCAGATGCGGGGTACATAGGGTCTCGAAGTTTGTGAAGCTCTGGTAGGAATACGCAAAGAGACTCACGCAAGCCCATCGTTTCTTGGGGCGCGAAGTTGGTAGGAGGCCAGTTCTAAAGCAAGCTTGCTGCAGCTAAGCTTCGTGGTTCCTGCAGAGCATCCTCAAAGAGTTCAGCTGCTCTCACTTGCTTGTCAGTGATTCGATTCGCAGAGGCCCCAGCTGTGGTACGCCAGGCAACGCATCGCGTGCAAATCTTGAGAAATGTCTCCAAACGATCTCCATCTTGGCCCGTGATGCGAGTGAGATATGGATCTCTGGCGTGGATTTCGCGGTAGACCTGCGCATCTTCTGTGCCGATCTTGTGGCCACAGCATGTGGCAATCACTGCGCCGAGCAACTCAGCACGATGGGCACCGGAAGTCAGGCCGTCCCAGCACCACCGTCGCAGCAACTTCAGAGCCAGATCGGTGCCGACACCACAAAGGTGCTTGGCGATGACCACCACTCTGCTGAGACCGTGCTTGGCCAGCACTGGTTCCAAGGCCTCTTGCGCATCCAAATCCCCCACATCTCCCGTGACCCGCAGGATTCGATGTCGGTACTCTGCAGGCAGGCGGCCCTCAACACGCAAAGGCTCGGGTGGCAGCGTGTGGTCCACAAGCACTGCATGGCCTCCCAACAGCAGCGCGGCTAGCATTGCGAGACTCCCGTTGCCAGCACCAATGTCGACCACGGCAATGTCCTTCCCCTCCTGTCCATCGGGGGACCCTGCAAGGGCCCATACCTGGGATTTCAAAAAAGAACTCACCTCTCAGATCACAGAGAAGGTGAAGCAACCACTTCCTGCAGGGAAGACACCTTCGTGAGGATAGACCACTCCTGGCCAAGGTACTTCTCCTGGTACTTGGGCGGCCGCTCAATCATGGCTGAAAGGATGGCAAGACCCTCTGGTGGCGCAAAGACTTCGGGCAATGCACCATATGGGCAGTCAGTACGTAAAACTGCTGTGGCTTGGGTGAGCAGGGCATCTACCTCCGCTACATCAGGGCAATGCTTGCGGCCCTTCGGCTTCTTGGGTGCTGGTAGCGTTTCGTCCGCTTCCCCTTCTGCATCTGCGGCGGTGTTTGCAACACCATCACGGCAGTAGCCACCCGCTCTTCCTGCAACTTGCCTCTCACAGGCGCACACCCAAAGTGATTCTCACAACACAGGCTTTCAATGACCTGCCTGGTGTTAGCAGCCAGATCAGGCAGAGCTGCCGGGAGGGCCTGCAGAATGAATATGAACAACAGCAGGTGTGTGATCGATCCTTTCCTAGATTCTGCTGAGAGCCTCCAGCACTTGAAAGACTGCTCGCAGCTCTCGGGTGCCTGCCCGCTCGTGGGCAGAGCCTGGCACAAATACATCAAATGCATGCTGTGGGAGAGTGTAAAAAAAAGCGAATAAGAACCAGAGAAAGAGACAGCGAGAGAGAGAGGAGAGGACGGAGGGCGCTTGAGTCCGTGTCATGCCAGGATCGCGGATGCTGGCCCGCTCTGCACGCCGCTGCTTCCGCCGCGAAGAGACAGAAGGCTTGGCCTGCACATACATGATCATACTTGGCAGAAAGGTGAGCAACAGGCGGAAGCATATGCCTCTGTGTCTGCTACATCATCAGCAAATGCTTCCTCGAAGGAAAGCACAGGCAGCCAGTCCTGGTGGGCTTAGCAATCATTTCGCACAGGTTCTTAGTAGGGAAGTTCAGGGAACACAATCCCTACATAATCGCCCTACATAACATATCCCCTTCCCACTAAGAACCAACAAGTTTTGCACGCATCCCTGCCACCTCGGCTTCTGGGCTGTCGTCGACCCCGTCTGCTGACATCTAGGTACTGAAGCCAGTTGGCTTTCCAGGCAATGCCAGCAAATATGGATCATCCAAGGGGCTTCAAGCATGCTGCCAAAATTTGTGCTGCAGAGGGAAGCATGTCTATGTAGGCTCAGCATAGCTCTGCGAGTTTTTTGCCGCAGCCTGTCGCATGAGTGGGAGCTACATAAATTGGAACTAGGCTTCCTCCAAGGGCCGCAGCTGCTCTGGAGGCCTTGCGGTGACGGCCACAACAAACCGGCATAAACTTGATGGGGTGCAAATCTGCCCTGTCAAGTCAAAGCAGCCGTAGTATTCCGTACATGTGATGGTTTCCCAAAATAGGGGGACCCCCAATATATACTATAATCCTCATTATAGGAACCCCCCAAGCAGGTACCCCTAATTTTAGGAAACCCCCATGTAAAGGTTGCAGGGCCCAGGCGGAGGTGAGGCGGCAAGCAGACGCCCCAGGCCCTTGGCGTGACCGTTGATCAGGACCTCAGGCTTACAACTCTCCATACTTCTTCGTCAATCGGAAATCTCCAAGAAGTAAGGGTCCCTTTTGAAGGGGGGAGAATACCTTACATTTTTGCGCTGTATGAGGGGGACGCGCATTTTTGGACATTCCCTATGGTTGTCTTCACATTGGGGTAAGATAGGTCGATTGGGGGGTCCGAGTAAGGCGGCCAAGATCCGAGGATTTGCAATAAATCGAAGCTTTGGATGCCAAATCGAGAGAATCGGGTGTCCTTGTCATTCCTTGCAGGTGCGGTGGCCCTGTTGCCACGCTATAGCTACTGAAAGGGAATCCATACGTGTTTGGAGCAGATCACCCTTTACTGAGAAGGGTGGGTGCAACATTACGCAAATGGCCTCAAAGCTCTGCATTCATTCTAGAAGCTCCGTTTGCTTGACAACTCAGGCCTGCGCCCAAGCACCACAGTCTTCTGACACATCCAGCCGCCGGCGGTCCTCGTCTGACAACCTAGCACAGAAAGAAAGCGCATTGCAGCCAGCTTCCGTTTGTGCTCTCAGAACACGAGGGTCAGGGGCAGATACTGTCTATGATATGACACAGATTACTTGTGGGTTACAAGTGACTCCAGTTTTGTGTAAAACTGCCCACGTTGCCATATACCATTTCTCCTTCTGATGGGGCAGCCTTGCCTGATCCAGCCCTCGCTGACTTCTGCAGCCTGAACGCAAAGGCTCTTCACCCGAAGCCTGCCAGCTGAGAGGTGCCAGGCCTGAATGATCTCGCCCGTTTTGAGAAAGGCCACTGGGTGGGCCTGTCCAAGGGCAGAGTTCTCAGAGCCTCCTTGCAGCGCATCCGACCTGCAAGGAAGGCTTCTTGCGCACGGCCACCTGCGGCTCGTATACCTGAGAAGAATACTATATCCCCAATATAACCACTATATAACCCCAGTTTCCATTTCATTTTCCATTTTCTTTTCCATTTGATTCTGCATTATAGGGCTCTAAACCCTACATTATTGGGTACCATAGTATCCCCAGGGGTCTCTGGGAACGCGAAGCCCTCATCAAAGCCCTGACCGGGCCCGGGACTACGCAAAACCAGCGCGGTTCCCAATCTTCACACCTCACGTGCATGATCTGGCTCCTTCAAGGAAGCGCCTAAACGCAATGCTGCCGTGCTGCAGAACGCCCAAACTCACCTCTTTGCCATCTTGAAGCACCTCAGGGCAGCCAAGAATTGATCACTGAAGTACACGGATCGAGGATTGAAGCTGGAAACCTCCTTCTGAGACCTCCACCCAGGCATCGCAATCCTCTGACCTGAAAACTGTACTATCCAGCAATGCCCGCAGTGCCGTTATCAACACTTTACCACCAACCTGGGCTCTGCGCACATCGCGATCATCCTTCTCTTCCTCTGCAAGCCTCACCCATCCTGCAGAGGCCGAGTGGGGAGTTCCATTCAAAGGAGGCCCCAACTAAGACTCCAGCATACTATAACCCAAATCAGGATCAGTCCCTAAACCCTAAACCCTTCGTCCTAAACCCTAAACCAAGAAAAAAGGCCCTAAATTGTTCAACCCCCCATTTTGCTATGTTGCAAGGCATGGCAGAGCGTGGCCTGATTTGACTTCCACTATCTCAACCACCTCCCCAGCCTTGCCACAAGCTAACTACAACAATATTCTATCGAGATTATATGGGGGTCATATAAGGATTTTCTAGGGATTATAGGGGGGTTTACATAAGGGCTCTGTAGGGGTTGGATATGGGTCGGATTATATACGGGTTATATAGGGGCTATATAGGATTATATAGGGATTATGTGCCACCAACTGAGAAGAGAATGTGATCAAGGTCCCAGCATCAAGGAACGTGACAGTCGGAGCTGTCAGGCTCGGGGATTTTCGGACCTCTGAAACCGAAGCTGCGGTTGTAGTTTTAATTTTAGGGCTTGGTGGCTTAGAGCCTTGGGGCCTATATATCCATGTATACCTATACATAAATATGCATATACATATATAGATATCCATATATACCCCCTATATGGCTTCTTTTGCACTGCTGATGCATGTGAGCTTTTGGCTGCAACCCGCGGTTGAAAGACGACGCGGATCCTGAGCACCGGCAAGAGATAGTAACTTTCTGGCACAATGGCAAGGTAGCACTGCATCTTGATGCTCTTGGCTGGGAGCCATCTTGGATTCAAAGATGTGTTTCTGCTGCTGTCCTGCGACCAGAATTCTATCAGAGCGAAGGGTTAAGACTTCTTGGGTGAGCCGTGCCTGTCTTGGTGGCTTTGTTCTGGGCTGTGGCCTCTTCACTGGAACTTCCTTCGTGACTGCCTCTTGAGGCACACTGTCGCCACTTCCTGAAAGCATCGAATCTCACTCTACAGAAAGATGTCACCCAAGTTCGGCTCCAACAAAGAATGCCGCCTTCACTGACGCCGGCCCACTGGCCAAAGCGAGACCGTCGAGCTCCAGTCATGGTCCACTACAAATTCGGCTTTGATGACGCACTATGAAAAACAGCTTCTTGCCTTTGTCACTAGTGATGAGTCTGGTGCACGGTGATGCATGGCCACAGTTATCTGCAAATTTGCATATCTGCAATGAAGGCGCAGCACGGCTACCTGTTGGAAGAGAAGCTCCCGGTCATTCGATGAAGGCTGCCAGAGCCCGCAACATGATCAAAACATGAAATGGAACGACGGCACAACTGTGCGAGGACTACTGTCTGTGCGTCCAGTGCTACAATGTAGTTCTGACCAGGCTAGCTTAAGTTCTTGACACTTCATGCTACTACAGGGCATAAATCGGCATAAAGAGTTGTCAAGAAAAGTGTCAAGAAATGAGCAGGACCCGAATGCACAGTAGCATGTCACTGAGCTAGCGAGCAAGGCATGCAAGCGGAAAGCGCACTATGTTACCACAGAAAGCATGAACAGCTTCCTAGGCTGTACCCCCTCGGAAGCTAAGATGAGATGGAAACCCCAAAAAAAAACTGTAAAGCTTACAGTCCAGTTAAAAGGGGGCTTTGTGGGTTTGCATCTTAGTTTGGGGGAGTGTAGGGACCTCTGCAAATCTCCAGCCCCCGCAACCTGGGCCTTTTTAACCAGGCGTTCATCACGCAGTCGCTCCGCTGACGTCCTCGGCCCATGGGTTTGGCTCAGTGGTTTGCTGTTAAGGAACTTAATTTAAGTTACTATTTTGGGGAAACTCTATTCTTTACTACATATAAGCCCATTATGGTAACTTAACTTAAGTTCCTAAACAGCAACCCAGTTTATTAGGGTATGAGGTCAGAAGTCCAGGAGTTGGGGACGCCCACAAACAGAGTCTATTGAGGGCCTGGCGATGACATCCCATTTACCGCAAAGTTGCTGCTTCAGGAGCAGGCTCCGATATTCCTGGCTGGTTTGGAAAGCTTCTCAAGACCAGGGCCCCAATAAAAGCCAAGATCACAGATTCCTCGTCACATCGACGAACATGTACCCAGCATTTGAAGAAACTCGCATGTGCAAAGTCCAAAACCCTGCCGGACCTGGGATCAGAAACCAAGAGGATACAAGTTTCAAGCATCCACTGATTCTGCTTGACTTGCATATGACGATTTTGCTTCTGATGCCATCATGGAGTATCGAAGATACTGCTCTTGTAACACATCTTGTAGGATATGTGCGGGTCGCCCAAGGTCCTTCTCGCCGCAGGTAGCCACCAGCTGGCTTCCCATGGGCTGCCACTCGAGCTTCCAAACCTCCTGCAAAAAAAGTCGGGCAAGGACGGTTTCAAGTTTGAAGGACTTTAAGCTTTGGATTTGGGACTTGCAGGTTTTGGGGATTCGTAGATAAATGCTTTGGGTGCTCATCGTCGGGTTTCATTATTCAGGCTCAAGGCATAGAGAATTGCATGCATCATGAGGATCTGGTGGGGTTTGATGGTACTTTTGATGATTCTAGGGAATATGATACAAGTCAACGTCATCCACAAAGCTGCTCAGGAGATTGTGGGCTGGGCGCTTCAGGTTCTACTCGGATGCGAATGCCCTCTTTTCAGTTCAGTGAAAGCTACTGTTGATGCCGAAAATCCTGCATGACTTTAGGATGCTGTAGCGCAATAATTCTCAAGATAATGTAAGGTGCTTAGAGTCATGCAGGATGTTGAGTATCAACCCGTATGGCTTCCATCATCCCCTTATGCCTCCATCTAATCTCGCTGTCCATTTCATTTTCCGTGCTCTCCTTTGATTCTCCATGCTTAGATGATTGAGGTATTTGAATCAAGCTGACGGAGGGCAACTTTCCCGATTGAGGATGCAAGGCATGGGGTTGGGGTGCCAAGGTCTGCAGTCACCGAATGTTTCAACTTTCAGTTCGTGTTCGTTTTTGCACGAAAAGATGGGATATCCCCAAGCTCCTGCGCAGTACATTTGGGATCTTAGTAATAATAGCCATAATAGCAAGAATCGTAATAATGGTAACCATAGTAATACTAGTAATAACAGTAATAACGGTAATAACAGTAATAACGGTAATAATCGTAGTAATGGTAGTATGGTGCAAATTGAATTTGAGAAACTGTCTCTGCTCTCCTACAGCATTTGGCTGCCCAAGCATTGTGGGGTAGGCAGCCTCGTCGAGCTTAACCGGCTGCTCCAATGTCCACCCCGAAGAGTCGGACTCATGTCCTCGGATAGATCTTCCCGAACAGTAAGGCCCTTCCACGAGCTTCAGGAAGGGATCCTGATATCTATATCTATACTTTCTAGGTAAACTCACACCATGGCTGGCTCCAGCAGCTGATACAGGAGTGATTTCTTCGTGGTGAGAACAAGTGACATGTAGACTCAGATTCGCCCCAGACTGTCACCGAGCAAACAAGCACCCTCCGCGAAATGAACTTACAGATGCCCATCCAAAGCAGGAGGACTTCCCCAAATCCAAACCGTGTACCCTTACACAAGCATTCCCGGGAAGGGATCAGGAATGTTCGCGCAAACTTCCAAACTTGGAGCGCTGCGAAGGAAGCCGACCTGCTTTCCCTTTGCAAACCTCGGGCATGTGTAGTGATGTGGATAATGGAAAAAATCCTGCATGACGCCAGGTACCTAAACACTGGGATGATGGACTTTCACGGGGACGTTACATCATCAGTAGCATGGCTTGACAATTATGATCCAGCGCAGGAGGTGATAGTGGTAGAACTACTCAGGCTGACAGCAGTCCGGGTAATTGACCACTTCATGGGCCAAGTCTGGCCTCATTGTTCTTTGGATCCCACTCCAAAAAAGCTGAAGCCTTTGCTTGGCAGCCGTCGTTTTGATCGCTGCGAAATGGAAGCTTCTCTGATAGAGCGGCCCAAACAGGCCCTCAAGATCAGGGCTCCATCCATGTTTTCCACATATCAGGATCTGTATCTGACATCCGACTTTGTTGTTTTGGGGGATCCTCTGTTAAAGACTCTATCATCACCCATATCAGACGGTTCCAGATTCAGCTTAGAAAAGAAAAGTTGACCACGAAGTTATATCATCTAGGTGGGTGAACCCCATAACCGCCCACAATACACTTTAACTACCTATCTTGAGAAAGGAAATCCCCATTTTAAAGGCACCTGTATGCTTGAGGAAGGCCGATGAAATGCCCTTAAGCGCCGTGCGCGAGCACATCGCCGCAGCCGTCCCACGGTTTCCAGGCCACATCACGGACCGGCTCCTGGCGGCAGCTTCACCAAAAAACATGATAGTGGAGAAGACAGAGCAAGGAAAGTAGGCAACATAGGAGTAGCAATGGCAAACAACTTGGCCTAGTATGTGTCTCGCTATCGCCATATCCGCCTACTTGAGGCATAGATTTTCCCTTGTGGTTTGCATCGCCCTGGCGGGCCAAGCCTGTAAGGTGTTGTCATGATTAGTATTTTCAACTTTGTGGTTAATGTTGCCGCGATGTAGCCATTAATGTTGAGGGAGATTGCCAGCCTCAAAATCAGTCTGCTTGTTGCTACGAGTCGAGTGCTGCAGATGATACAACTTAAGAACCGTTCTCCTCCACAGCCAAATTGGATTTGAGGACTCCAAAGAAACGAGATTCTTGATTACGGTCATAGAGGCAGAGGACCTGCGCTAAGCAGTGGGCTTGAAAAGGTCCAAACCATGCCAGGAACTTGCACTGGAACGGAGGCACTTTAAACGTGAGGAATGTCTCATGGCTTGTTTTCCCGTAGGCTATCGCAAGAGCCTGTTGTTTTTGAGGAGGCGGGGGTGTAGAGGAGACTCCTAAATTCAGAAATCGTGATCCTGAATAACAAGTAAACAGCCAGGTGAGATAACCTGACACCTAGATAACCCTAAATGAACCCTACGTAATCCCTTCATGGACCCTACATAATCACTGTATGTCCCTACATTCGCCAACATTCAAATGGAGAGTATTTGCCTACCTGGTTGCCAACAGTCCTTCAGCTCGGAGTGCTCGAGCTCCTCCTCCCGCACGCGGCCATGAACCTAGTTCAGCATGCAGAGAAGACTACATAGGCGTCTGTAGGGAATCTATAAATCTTTACATATCTATACTAACTACCTCTGTATATATATCCTAAAACCTAGACCTATATGGAAATATATATATATATATGTGTGT